TTTTTATTTATTTTTTTAATTTGTTTTTGATTTGAGCACCAAATCAGCATAGTGTAATGATTTCTGAAGAATCAATGTCACATTTAAGACTGGAGTAATGCTATCATGGGAATAAAATTACTTTTTAAAATGTATTAAAATAGAAAGTTCCTTTAAATTGTAATAATATTTCACAACTTTTCTTTTTGACTGACTATTACGTCATTCACAGTGTTTCATGGGAGTGGGCACTAAAGTGTTGTTTTGCCATGATTTTCTCACCACAATTCTTTTATTGGTGTAGATTTTTCTTTTGTAATCACGGGTAATGTAATTTTTAACCTGGAATTCTGCTGTTAAACACAATTATTTATAAAATAAGTTGAAATCATGTGAACTAATGACTTTAACAAAAGCATATGCCATCCATTAGCAACCTCTGAGCTCACAGTAAGTTATCATTAAAAATCAATTCTCCTATGGAGACAATCACTGGGACTATACTTCCAGAACCCGACTGTTGCACTCTATAATGAAAATAAATGAGGACCGTTGCTGTCAAGATGTCAAAAAACAAAACAAGAAAAAGTGTAATAAAAGTGATAAATGTCAAACGGTTATTTTGAGGCTGATCTTTGCAATGACTTGATCCAACTGATCCAGTTCACAATGTCCATGACTTGTTTACGAATCTGACTCATTCACTTTTCAAGCTAAACTGACTCAATGATCCAGTCATATATATTTAAAATATTTTCTTATATGTTCCATAGAACAAAGAAAGTCCTACACATTTGGAACGACATGAGGGTGAGTAAAAGCAAACCAGTCCTTCAAGGTTATCCACATGTCTCACATAAATCGAACCCTGTGCTTTTGAGACATGATAAGAAGACAAAGATGGCAGTACTGATGAAACGGAGTGAGAGAAACGGATGAGGGAGTGAAATGACGCATTCATGAATAAATCTGTCATTAGTGTCACAGTGGCTCCCATGCATGGCCTGTCAAAAATGACAATGTTAACATTGTTTTTCCTCAAGAAAGAGAAGGGAGAGAGAGGAAGATGAGAAAAGGAAGAGGGACGCTGCTGCCCACACACCACTGACAGCAGTCCCACAGAAAGAGAGATGGAGGGATGGACGAAGAAACGAAAACGTCCATAAAAAGGTTAATGGGTCAAATTCACAGCAAAGAGAGTCATGATAAATGCCCACAGCTTGCACGTATATGGGCCAAGCATTAACCATGAAGTTTAGCACCTACCTCCCAGCCTGTGCTCTGTATAACAGAGAGAATACAGCACAAATCAACATACACAGGTCACAATCACCCCTTCACTGACTGCAAAGCATTATGGGAAACACTTGTTTCTGAAAATCCATACACTGCTGTTCAAAAGTTTGGGGGCAGTAAGATTTTTTTAAATAAATGAATGATTTTATTTATTTCAAATAAATGCAGCCTTGGTGAACATAAGAGACTTTCAAAAACATAAAAAATAAAAAAAATGAAAAAAATCTTACTGACTCCAAACTTATGAACTCTAGTGTATTTGTTAGACTGTCACTGTACTCTCCATGCAAGACTCCTCATCCCTGTATATACTGCATGCAATAATATATCTATATATGACAATTTTGAAAAGAAAAAAAAAATTACACGTGTTTGCTTGTTGCATGATGCTAAGGTGATCTGGGTTGTTGCCAGGAATTTTCTATACAGTTGCTAAGGTGTTTGTTGCATTGTGGTTGTGGTTGCTTTCTAGCCCAGGTCAAAAGGGTCATCCTATTCTGGTCACCTCTTTCAACATATGTAAATGTCAACTCTGGCTGCTCTCAAAAGTTATAACACACTTCTCCTCAACCAGTCACTCAATTTCAGGAATCAATAATATCAATAACATTAATGCTGCAAAACTAGTTGCTCAATGCTATGCATGAGCAAGATATAAGGCCCGTTCACACCAAGGACTATAAGTATAAAGTTTTAATAATCAATCTAATCCAAACAGAATAGTGGAGTCCACACAACTAAAATGATAACGTGACCGAGGATCAACATTGTTGGAATCACTTTCATAACAATTTTTGGCAGGTTTTCTAGCTGATGAATGATAAAACATTGATAAAATGTTAATAAAACGATACTTGCATTTCTATACTAAAAAAACAACTTGAGCATTTAAGCACACAATTATTATAAACAGACTGTGTGTTGGTGTAGACGCTAATATAGTTATCGTTATAGTTATAATTCTCAGTGTGAATACTATTCACAACGCCCAGGATATCTCACTAAATAAAGCCCACATCCACAGCACCTCACTCTGATATAAGAGAGATAGACATAGTCATGCAGTCTTGATAATGCAAAGACTCTTTCACGTGTCACACATAAATCACGTTGATGTGTATACACAAGCAAAATGTTGCCAAGTTAGACTTCTGGCAGGTTGTTGCTTTGTCCTACTAGGGCAATAATACAAAGTCCTGGTGTCTTATACAGCACGAAAAGGCTAAACAGAGCATTTATTTTAGGATCCAAAAGATTAATAACTACACCTTTAATATAAGCATTTACCTGGAGTACAATTTTGCCAAAGGCTTCCTGAAGTTTACCATGAATAGTGGCTAATTTCTTGGCATCCCTGTTGGCCTCGTGAATAGGGATGAGCACCTTGTAGACTTCGTTCACTGCTTCGTACATACCAGCCTGGAGACAAATAACGATAAGAATGGCTCATGATGGGTATAAAACAATATGATGTAATACAGTTAAATGACTACATGTGAGTTTACTGAAATTCATATTTTTTATTTTGCACAATACTGTATATACTCAAGGAGTATTTAAATGAATAAATAAATAATTAAATATTGAGTGAAAATCAAAAAGAAATTTTTTTTTAAATTATATTATATAGTACCAAAAGGCAAATAAGCTACTAAATGTTGCTATAACAAGCTAAAAATGATTATACATAGCAATCAAATAAATTGAATGAATAGTTCACCCAAAAATGAAAATTTGCTAAAAATGTACTCACCCTCCAAGATGTAGAGGAGTTTGTTTCTTAATTGGATCAAATTTGGAGAAATTTAGAATCACTTGCTCACCAATGGGTCCTCTAGAGTGAATGGGTGCCATCAGAATGAGAATCCAAACAGCTGCTAAAAACATCACAATAATCCACAAGTGATCGACGCGACTCCAGTCCATTAATTAATGTCTTGAAAAGTAAAAAAAAAAAAAAAAAGCATGTCTGTAAGAAACAAATCCATCATTAAGGCATCTTAACTTTAAACTGTTGCTTCTGGCCAAAATATGAGTCCACAATCCATAATAACACTTCCTCCAGTGAAAAAGTCGATCCCCCATGGTCCTTTCACATCAAAATCCACCAACATATTTGTTTGTTTAGAACTGTTCTGGACTGTTTTTACTTGTAAATGCAGTTTGATCTGTGCACATTTCTCTCGACAACTTTTTTTTCAGTGGAGAAAGCAATATTATGGATAGAGGACTTGTATTTTTGAAGCAACGGTTTAAAGTGTAAAAGGTCTTAACAATGAATTTGTTTAATACAAACTGATTTTCACTTCACAAGATGAATTGATGGACTGACGATTAGTCGTGTCGATTGCTCATGGATTATTGTGACGTTTTTTATCAGCTGTTTGAACTCTCATTCTGACGGCACCCATTCACTGCCGAGGATCTATTGGTGAGGAAGTGATGCTAAATTTCTTCAAATCTGTTGTGACGAAGAAACAAACTCATCCACATCTTAGACAGCCTGAAGTTGAGTATTTTTGGGCGAACTATGCTTTAAAACAAACAGAATGCAGCCAAGTCATAGTAATAAAGTAGAGGTCTTTTAAACCACATAGTAAATAACGCACCATAGAAAAGGAGGCTGCAGCCTGTTCCAGCAACCCAACTAAGCCTGCCTCAGTGAAGTACTTCCCAGAGCAGATGCCCTCCTCGTCTGGTGACACCACGTCATCCGACACAGCAGATTCTTCCAGCACATTAGAGGAAATGTTCTGTAGTAAGAAAGATCTCATGAATATATTATAATTAAAAAGTAAATGACCGACACATTATCTGTGTCACAGGGTGCGGCAGGAACCTGAAAGGTGACACAGCCCACAGGCAGGTACTTGCGGTCCTCCAGCATGCTGAGGTACTCAGCCACCAGGGCGGCGCTGTGTACCAAGCATTGAGCTGCCTCTGCATGATTAGTCCTCTCTGAGTGTTTCCCGGCCATATTTTGCAGCCAGGTCAGTCGTAGATCCGGGGATGTCTGGTAGCCCTTAGCAATCCTATATAACAGAAAGCACACATTTGTCTTGATAAATACAGTAAATATGACCAAAAAAAATAAATCCAGTAAAAATAGTAATGTGGAATATTTTCACAATTTGAAATAACAGTTTTCTATTTAATATGTTCAAATAAAATGTGTTCATGTGAAGCTGAATTTTCTCCATTAATCCAGCTTTCACATGATCATTCTAATATGCAAATTTGGTGCACAAGAAACATGTCTCATTATTATCAATGTTGGAAATAGGTTGTGCTGCTTAATATTTTTGTGGAAACCACAATACATTTCCTTGATAAAAAGAAAGTTCCGAAGAAAAGCATTTATTTGAAATAGAAATATTTTGTAACATTATAAATATCTTTAATGTTACTTGTGAACAATTCATTTTATTTGTGTCCTTCAATAAAGTATTAATTTCTTAAAAAAAAAAAAAATACTGATGCTAAACTTTGGAATTGTAGTGTATATATATATATATATATATAAAAAACAAAAAAAACAGTCACTACAAAAACAGTTGGCAGTTATTAATAAATAATATATTTTAGCATAAATAGAGTATATGTAAAATTTATGACATTTTTAATGGTCATTAATTTTACATGCTAGGTTAATTTCATGTGAGTTAATAGTGTATTGAATAATATAACAATGTGATGTGATCCATTCTGCAATGTAAAAACAGTACCTGTACATCAGATCAATTAGCATCTCTGGATCTTCTTGATGTTCCTTCATTTTTACTGTGTCCGAAAGAATCATGTGCAGGTTAAACACCAGATCTTGAACCTGAAACCAGAGTCAAAATCAGTGTTTTGTGTCAGGAGTTAGCAAATAGAGGGTGGAAAAGATTTATGAGCCTCACCTGATCAGAAAAGGTGGTTTCTCTGAGCTCTAGGTCCTCTTCTGCATACGTGAGGATGGTCTTGAGTGAACGCCGCAGAAACTCCTCATTGAAGTTCTGGGATGTACCCACCAGAGACGAAAGAGACATGGTCACCTGCATTTTCACTCGTGCAAAGTTCTGCAGGAAAGAAAACAAACAAACCTTTAATAAAGCTCTTCACATATAAACAGAGACTAAATACTGTTTAAAAACTTAAAGTAATAAACAATACAATATAGTTTATACATATCTAATAATTAATTTAATATACATAACTACATATAATCTATTTATAAATAATAAATATATATGTACTCATACATAATATTTTATAAATATGCACTACGGTTCAAAAATGTGGGTTCAGAAGTTTGTGTTTGGAAGGGAATTATTACTTTTTCCCAGCAGGGATGCATTAAATCTATTAAAAGTGACAGTATAAACGTTTATTATACTACAAAATAGTAATATTTCAAGTAAATGCTGCTCTTTTGAACTTTGTTACTGCTTTTTTTTAATGAAAGAATCTTGTATAAATTGTTTTCAAAAAATATCAAGCAACACGCTGTAAATTATTCATTAAATTGATTAATTATTAATGAAACCGATCACCATTCTTGATCATCTGAAGGATCATGTCTTTAGGACACTAAAGACTGGAGTAATGGCTGCTGAAATTTCTGCTTTCCCATCACAAGAATAAATTATATTTTAAAATATATTATAATACAAATCAGTTAAATTCTATTCATTCTATTAATATCACAACATTAATGCATGTTTTTTAGTGTACACCTTTGAATGGTGTTGTATTAAGTAATATAATAATACAAAATGAAATGAAAAATGCCATATTTGCTTATACGTACATGTGGTACAGAACTGAGGGGCACAAACAATCTACTGTTATTTATGCTGATTATGAGAGTGTGTTTAAATGTTTCTCACATTTCCGATCTCAAAGTTCTGTCTCATGAGGAGGTAGAGGGAGGCGCTGGCATGGGCTCTGATGGTGCTGATGCTACTGCTACAATTCCTCAGGAGCCGCAGGCACAGGTCAGCACACTGCTCTGTCTCCTCCTCAAACAGCAGCTCTGGAAACTAAATGCACATTCAGACTTAGACACGGTCACAAGAGATCATACACTATTTCATGTAAAGAGAGCAATCACCAAGCAAAATTGCATTGATCTGCTGGAGCTAAATTGGTCAATACAAACTCAACAGAAAATTCTGCTCTTTGACCTGATCAGCGTTCACTCACCTTTGACACGAGAGCTCTCTGTGTAGCGAAGCAGTGTTGCAAATACAGGGCACTTTGATTACATGCCATGCTGTGTAGCAGGACTTTCAGAACCCCTCCCAGAATGCTTTCTTTGGACTCCGTCACTGATACGGTCTACATGGCACATAGAGGAACCATCATAGTTATAATAAATGTCTTCTGTGTTAAAATATTAAGAGTTATTGATAGCAGTTGAGATCATTACCTGAACTATTATTTCTAGTGTATCCAATATGATGAGATTAGCTTCAGTTGCCAGGTTGCCATCAATAATTGCTTCATGCTCCAGCTCAGCCCTGGTCCTGACAAACAATGAGGTAATGAATGTTTAGAGTGGTGCAATATGGCAGGTACAACAGCAAGCGGATCCTTGAATGCCACTGCAATCTCCACACAAGCATTCAAGTGAGTGTATACAGAAGAAGGGTGTCCTCTGCATACAGACCAAATATTTTGATCCATTTCTGCATAGTTTAGTAAGTTGTTGTCCTAGCCTTTGTTGTAAAATATGTATAATGTTAACCCAAACTTTGACTTACATAGACCTAATATTAATGCTTTGAAAATAAATAAATAAACAATAAATTAGCTCTAATCTATATAATTACAGACTTTGATTTTACTTATATGGACTTAATGTTTACACTGTTATTATTATTATTATTAATAATAATAAATGCACTAAACATTTACAAATAAACAAACAAGTACTAATCTGTAAAGTACAGACCAGATTTTTTTTACCTATGGACTTAAACTTAATATTTTATTGTAATAATAATAATAATACATGTTTAAATATTAAAACCAAATATTTAAATAAAAAATATATAAATAAATATTATAAAAACATGTTTTTTTTTATCTATAAATACATTTGAGTTTTAATCTGTAAAATAAATACTTGAACTTTCACTTACATAGACTTAATCTTTAAAAACATTAAATAAAATAATAATAAAATATTTAATGCACTGAATATTAAAAAAAAAAAAAGTTCTATAACCTAATCTTGATAGGTCTGAGTTAGGCTCAATCATTTTAAAGATGTTTAACGATTCACATCAACTGTAGATGTGCAAGCATATCCTAGTGAGCTTACAAACCTAACTAAGAAGGGCTCCTGGCTTCTTTCATTGTGCAGTGGAATTCCCTTAAACCTGTATGGTACATGATTCATTCAAAAAAGGCCACACACAAACAACTGTATCATAACCCTTTATAGGGCAGGAGAGAGCCATGGCCCTGTCACAGACTTGACTGATCGTTGTTAGAAGCAGAGAGGGTGGTCTGTTGTTAAAAGGTTTTTGAAAATGTAGCATAATACTGTATTGTTAAACTGCAACTCTGCACCTGGAGGTTCACTGTGTACATACATTGTGCAATCCGTGATTAGGCTTTACTCATCAAGATGCTATATTTTTTACAAGCTAAATTAAACTTAAGCATTTAGTATTTACTTTAAATGCAATTTAATACTGAAAATTATTTAGCACACAGGGGCTCCAGGAGCTAGAGTAGCATTTTAAAAGGGCCCATGTTAATATGAATTCCCTATGGGTGGGCCACTGAATAGGATTTGCTCGAAAAAGAGTTGAATGTACGGAAGCACCCCCACTGCCAGACACTTGTCCTTTTGAAAAAGGGAGCCAAGTGATTACAGAAGGTTATGCAATGGCATCAAACAATAAACATTGGCAAAATGTAAAACATTTATTTATTAGATGATTTTATATTTTTATTAGATTATTTTTGTTGTATTAGGATTAGGATCATGGAGGAATAAAGGTGAGAACCACTGAACTCATGAAGGACAACTGCCACCACGTTAATTCTCCAAATTAAATCATTATTAGATACAGAATGTTCTTGGAAAAGAAGTTAAAGAGAGCAATATGACAACTATACAATATACCTCTCGTAGCTCATTAACTTGACAGTGAATATTAGGGTAACTACATTACATTTTGAAATCATTCACTGCTAAATCTTGGACCCGAGAGGCTGGTTAAAGAGCCATGTTGCACTCTTGTTATAAACAAACTGGTTATTACAGAATCACATCATCCAAGCTGCATCCTACTCCATCTCCCCAAATAAACACACACATTGGTCTGAATCAGATTCTGGTCAGTGGTCAGTATAACTGCATCCAGACCAATCCAAGCACCAGTAGAGGAGAGCAGAACCAAAGCACGAGGGAGAGGGGCTTTAAATTCAGGTCTGAAGCAAAGCAGGGGTCATTGAAAGCAAAACACACTTCAGATGTACAATACCTGACTGATCTCTGGCCCCTAAACACACAGTACATGAAAGAACAAGGTCAAATAAAGGGGTTATTTGAGGTCAAATGGTTAATGGTTGTGTTTTTAAAGAAGACACATAGCAGATTAATGCTGAAGTGAAAGCATTTCAAAAAATGAAAGTATAAAAAAAGTTATAGAAGTTTAAGTTTGCAGTAAAGATAATGCAGTATACCAATTTTTTGTTAATTGTATATAAAATAAATACTTTATAAGTCAGATCTTTCCAAAGATATGTGTTTTGTCAAGATTACAAAAAGATTAGATTTTCTAAAACACAAGCCACAAAATCACAGTATATATATATATATATATACACCCCTAAAAGGGTGACGTATAACTTTCCCTGCCTCTCCCCACAGCCTCTCAAATGTTTGTATCCCACAGGATACGTTGTCAGTTTTAGGGTTAATTGAACCATTCAGAATACATAGATAATACATAAAAAAATAAAAAATATTTAAGGCAGACTAATTACTAAATTAAAAGAAAACAATTAAAACAAAAAAAAAATTATAATAAGAATACAAAATATTTATTTAAATTAATACCAGTTTTGCATTTTATTATTTAAAATTAATAAATAATTATTATTACTTTTTTCCTTTTCTTTTTTTCCCACTGGACTAACTATTGACGACCACATTACAAACTTTGTACTTGTATCAGGCAAGTTAAATAATTGAAATGGAAGTCAAAGTTCACCTACTTTAAATTTGGCTCAGGAACACGCTAAACAAAAATAAATAAAAAGAATAAAAAATAAATAAATTAATTAATTAAATAAAATCATACTTGTCCATCTTTTCGCTGGTCTGACGCCAATGGGTCATGTCTTTTCTCCAGCGAAGGTTTTCTTGGCTGCCAAAAGCACTGCCTGATGGACTTCTCTCTGTGGAGGACAAAGACTGTTCATACGTTCAAATGCCTTTTTGCCCTGCATGAACAAAAAATGGGCCTTTTTGTATGAGATGGATGGATAGAAACACACAAACATGAATTAATTTCACTTGGTTTGTGAAAGAACATAGCTGAGCACACTGGCTGCATTTCTTTAGAGATGAACGGAAACGTAAACAGACGTGAAAGAGATACAGATATATTTCTACTGAGAGATCCATAAGTGCGGTGGAGACATCTGATTAATACCTTTGGCATTAGCTCCCTCAATTATGAAGCTTATTCAAACCTTGTATTCAAAGCAGGAGGCACAGAGGTAGAGCAGGTCCAACAGGCGATTGAGCTGCGAGACAGACAGGTCAGTGAACCATTTCTGAAGCACCATCTCATCGGCATTCTTCAGCACCCACAGCAGACAGATGAGCAGACTACGACTGGACTCAGCGGAGAACGAGCCATGCTGACGGGTGGCCTGGAGAACAAGGTGTATAGATTTTAGTGAACGATTGATATTCTCCTTTTTCAGACACTGCATGATGTAGCTTTCTTGTTGTATAACATTGCTTTGGTCTAATTGTCTCTAACATCAAGTAATCTATTTTCATTCAAAAGAATTACATTCATTATGGCAGCTTACGTTTTTTGAAAATAAAAAGGATGTGCACAAAAAATGGCTTTACTTTAAATGCGAAGGGTGTCATTTCTGTCATTCACACTAGAGCCCTGCACGGGCCTCAAATTTAGGCCCTAGCCCGGACCTGGCCCGAGACGCTCAGGCCCTAGCCCGGCCCGTGTCCAACAGCCCATCAGAATTCTTGGCCCGAGTCCGACCCAGTCTTTTTTTCCCCCTTCTCCCAAAACAGCTTATACTACTGTTTCAGCTATTAGTTCAGTTTTGTATGTAATGTCAAAGTGATTATATTTCATAGTTTTTTTATTAAGTTCATTTAGAAAAACGTTGAGCATTTTTTTTGTTCATTAAATTAAAGTTTTTGTTTTTTAAAGTAACGACCAATCGGCCAGCGGCAGAGAGTGAGCTGCTAGCCTATGTTTGATCAATTTAGCCTTCTCAAATCATCACGACATGCCTAAAATAAAATCTATAGATATAAAACAGTTCAAGCATATCACAATGTTAGTTTAAATGTTTAACCTATATAAATGTGCGCTATTAGACGCATATCATATTAGCGCGCTTTACAGGACATGGAGGCGCCGGCGCGATCACTTGCATTGGAAACAACTTAAAATATGCCGTCATTTTTGCTCATAAAGGTAAGAGTAATACATCACTCAGAACTGTAAAGGGTCTACTTTTATTTGTGTGCACTCACAATATCAACAAAATGTTGTGCTTTTATAAAATAAAGGATACATACATGATGCGCTTTCTGCAATTTCGGCCAGGAGTGCTTCACAATGATGAACTGAAACTCAATGAGCCCGAGTCCGACCCGAGCCCGATCTGTAAAAAAAAAAAAAATGGCCCGAACCCGGCCCGAATGGACTCAGCATGTCGGGCCTCGTCGGGCTTGCAGACCTCTAATTCACACACACACTGCAACCAATCAGTGAGGTCACAATACCTGTGGATTGAGCAGAAAACTACTAGGCCGTGACATCTGTGGCACAGAGGTCCCTGCAATTGCCATTGCAACAGTCTGGCTAATCATACTGTTGCCCTCAGCTTCCTGCTCCTCGGTACCTGGACCACCAGGACGCCCCCACTGATTATGGGATTCTGTGATGGTAAAAGAAAGGTTAAAAAGACTAAAGAAAAACAGCAACATGTGTGGATGTTGTTATTACATGGCATATTTACAATACAACATGAGCGAAAACAAAAACTCTTTCATTATAAAATCCGTAAAGATGCACTACTCAAAGGCACGTCTAATGAGGAGATGGCGAGTCAGGATCGCCATCTTCATCTTCATCGTTGCGACACGGGCTCAGAAAACACTAATTTATTAATAAATCATTCAAATATCTCCTTACTATTTCCCCCGCTTTGCGGCATGCTTTAGCCTATTGCGTGCGCTTTTTGCTGTTATGTACAAGGATATGTTTGCAGATTCTGCACTGCACATGACCAATTGACTCACTGTTTGCCGTGGTAATCAAATCAAAACTCTTCCAAAATGCAGCTTTTCCCGAAGCATTGGGAACTTTTAGTAACTCCCCACGCTCCAACTTACTTCTCCCTGATGCTCTGCATGGTCAACTGTCACCTGTATGCTAATGCGTTGCGTATTTCTGCAATGTATAATATTTATAATATAATCATTATATCAATATTTCATAGAGTAGCCTATAGCCGGGTTTCCATCCAAAGTTGCGAATTTAACAAGCATCGCTTCCATCCAACAAGTCAAAGAGAACTAAATCGTCACTTCCTGATAAACTGGCACTATAAATCACTAAGAAAAGTAGGAGAATATAATCATTTTCATATATAATAAATTACTTGCGCCTCAGAGCGAGCAGACGAAATACAATGAATGCAGTCATTGCTTTCGGAGGTGGCTGCTGCTGTTTGGGAACGCAGTCGTCTAAGACATTTCTGGGAGGCAATTATACAGAAATACTTTGATGACAGACTTTGCTCGTGCATTTCCGAATGACCATAACAACATTTCAGATGCTGTGGAATGAGATCGGTCCACTGGTTAGTCAGGTTTTGCCGTCCCATATCACAGCCACATGACTTTTTTGATGCGCTTGGAGGAATTTATTCGCAAAATGCATTT